TTTTTTGGTTGCAGCCATCATTGTTGTTTGGCGGCCCGGGCTGGGGATTCGAACCCGCCACCTTAGGTGTATGTGGCTGGCGCCTTAGCTGATTGAGCCACAGGCGCCGAGCCAGAAGGTATTTTCAATTTTAGTGAGTTTATGATACCTTACCAAATATTCAGTCCTTGCAAGGCCCACTGTAAAAAAACCAATCTCGAATATTCTTGGCTGTAGATCATACTGCCTTCTGTTCTTTGATTCTCTCTTTTTTTTTCCTTCATCATAAAAGGAAGAAGAGATGTTCTTTGCTTTTCTTAAAGGAATAGTTTTTTGTTTTTTGTTTTTTTGAGTCTCACTACGTTGCCCTTGGTAGAGTGCTATGGTGTCACAGCTCACAGCAACCTCAGACTCTTGCGTTCAAATGATTCTCTTGCCTCAGCCTCCCAAGTAGCTGGGACTACAGGCACTTGCCACAAGGCCCAGCTATTTTTTGTTGCAGTTGCCATTGTTGTTTAGCTGGCCCAGGCTGGGTTTGGACCCACCAGCCTCAGTGTATGTGGCTGATGCTGTAACCACTGTGCTACGGGTGCTGAGCTTAAAGGAATAGTTTTAAAATTTCTTCCCTTAATTTAACAAAACGAGTTTCTATGCTGTGTGTGTTTTTTATCATGATAAAACATACACAACTAAAAATGTACCATCTTGACCATTCCATGACAGTAAATGATAATGGCTGTTGTACAACCATTATTACTGTCCATTTTCAGAACTTTTTCATCATCCCATACTGAAACTCTGTACTTAGTAAATAGTAACTCCCCATGCCTCCGTCCTAGTCCCTGATCACATCTGTTGCACTATCTGTCTGTATAAATTCATTAATCTTAATACCTCATATAAGTGGGTAATATTTGGCTTTTTTTTTTTTTTTTTCTTGAGATAGAGTCTCACTATGTTGCCCTCAGTATAGTACCGTGGCATCACAGTTCACAGCAACCTCAAACTCTTGGGCTTAAGTGATTTTCTTGCCTCAGCCTCCCGAGTAGCTGGGACTACAGGTGCCTGCCACAACGCCTGGCTGTTTTTTTGGTTACGGTTGTCGTTGTTGTTTAGCAGGCCCGGGCTGGGCTTGAACCCGACCACAACTTCAGTGTGTGTGGCTGGCGCCCTACTCACTGAGGTATGGGTGCCGAGCCATCATTTGTCCTTTTCAATTAATTTTTCTAACCTCCTGGTTCATCACTGGCAGAACGATATTTGTCATTTTGTGTGTAGTTTATTTTCCATAACATATGAACATATAGTTCATTCCCTTCACATCCATGTTGTAGTGTGTGTCAGAATTTCGTTCTTTTTTATGACAATAATATTTACTGTACATATATATGTATATATATCACATTTTATTCGTCTGTTTATGGACATTTAAGTTTTTTTCCTACCTCTTTGCTGTTTTGAATAATGCTCCTATGAACATTTCATGTACAAGTATCTGTTTCAGTTCCTGATTTCAGTTCTTTTGGGAATATACCTAAGAGTGGAATTGCTGAATCATATGGTAATTCCATGTTTAGCTTTTTAACAAACTGCCAAACTCTTTTCCACAGCATTTTACATTCCCACCAGTGATGCATGAGAACTCCCAGTTCCTTCACATCCTTGCAAAACAGTTGTTATTTGCTTATTTATTTATTTAATAATAACCGTCCCAGTGGGTGTGAACTGGTATTCCATTGCGGTTTGGTTTGCATTTCCCTAATGACGCTTATTTGTGCTTATTTGTTGTACACATTTTAAAAACATAATTTCTACTTTTCTCACTTGATTGGCAAAGATGTGTTGGCTGTAAATGTTGACTTGGCATCTGTAGCTTTCTCCATTAATTTTTTTAAACTAAATGTGCTGATTTTTTCCCTTTTTTTTTTTTTAAAGATGGCTCTGAGTAAATCAATGCATGCAAGAAATAGATACAAGGACAAACCTCCTGACTTCGCATATCTGGCATCCAAATATCCAGATTTTAAACAGCATGTTCAGATAAATCTGAATGGAAGAGTGAGGTAGGTAACAGATTAAAAGTTGATACTGTATCATTCTAGTGTGTTCTAAGTGGGCACAATGTAGCAGAAAGCAGGCAGGACCAATAGAAAACCTGAATGTTAATGGTATTAAATTTCCCATGTGGCCTTGGACAAATGAAAGGATTGGACCAAGTGCTTTGTTTTTCTTTCTGTCTCTAAAAATTCTCTTCTCTCTCTCTCTCTCTATTTTTTTTTTTTTTTTTGAGACAAAAGAATTTCCCAATGTCACCCTTGATAGAGTGCTGTGGCGTCACAGCTCACAGCAACCTTCAACTCTTGGGCTTGCACAATTCTCTTGCCTCAGCCTCCCAAGTGGCTGGGACTACAGGTGCTTGCCATAATGCCCCACTCATTTTTTTTTTTTTCCGTTGTTGTGGTAGTTGTCATTGTTGTCTGGCAGGTCCAAACTGGGTTCAAACCTGCCAGTTCTGGTGTATGTGGCTAATGCCCTAACTGCTGAGCTATATGCACTGAGACACTCTCATGAAAGAAAATAAACTTTTTTTTTTCCTTTTTTTGTAGAGACAGAGTCTCACTTTATAGCCCTTGGTAGAGTGCTGTGGCATCATGCAGCTCACAGCAACCTCCAACTCCTGGGTTTAGGCTATTCTCTTGCCTCAGCCTCCGGAATAGCTGGGACTACAGGCACCCACCACAATGCCTGACTATTTTTTGTTGCAGTTTGGCCAGGGCCAGGTTTGAACCTGCCACCCACGGTATATAGGGCTGGCGCCCTACCCATTGAGCCACATGCACCACCCATCTCTTTCTTTTTTTTTTTTTTGTGAGACAGTCTAACTCGGTCACCCTGGATACAGTGCAGTGGTATCATCACAGCTCACTGCAACCTCAAACACCTAGGCTTAAATAATCCTTTCTCAGCCTCCCAAGTATCTGGGACTAATAGCATGCACCACCATACCCAGCTAATTTTTTCTATTTTTGGTAGAGATTGGGGTCTCACTGATGCTCAGTCTGGTCTCAGATTCCTGAGCTTAAGTAATTCTCCTATCTTGGCCTCCCAGAGTGCTGAGATTGCAAACATGAGCTATTGTACCTAGCCAAAATTTTCTTATTGTCCAAATTATTGCTTATCTTACAGAAATCCTGGAGTATTTGCTGACAATAATTGTGCTCTATGCATTCTAAAACTTAGTGATTGGTGAAGATCTAACAACATTGTTTTAATAAAATGTGTGTTTATTTTGATGCAAGGTAGGAAAATAATGAGGTCATTAAAATACCAATTTCACAGATAGTAATACTTAAGATGTTGCTAAATTTAAGTTAAAAAGTTGGTTTTTAGGCTCAGCGCCTGTGGCTCAAGTGCCTAAGGCGCCAGCCACATACACCTAAGGTGGTGGGTTTGAATCTAGCCTGGGCCCACCAAGCAACAATGATGGCTGCAACCAAAAAATAGCCGGGCGTTGTGGTGGGCGCCTGTGGTCCCAGCTACTTGGGAGGCGGAGGCAGGAGACTCACTTGAGCCCAGGCGTTGGAGGTTGCTGTGAGCTGCGATGCCACAGCACTCTACCCAGGGGGACAGCTTGAGGCTCTGTCTCAAAAAAAAAAAAAAAAAAAAGTTGGTTTTTAGGGTGGTGGCTGTGGCTCAATGGGTAGGGCGCTGGCCCCATAGACTGAGGATGGCGAGTTCAAACCCGGCCCCGGCCAAACTACAACAAAAAATAGCTGGGCGTTGTGGTGGGCACCTGTAGTCCTAGCTACTCGGGAGGCTGAGGCAAAAGAATCACCTAAGCCCAGGAGTTGGAGGTTGCTGTGAGCTGTGACACTACGGCACTCTACTAAGGGCAATAAAGTGAGACTCTGTCTCTAAAGAAAAGAAAAGAATAGTAGAATCACAAGGTTGAGGCACTTTGCTGACCTCTTTTTTGCTCCCCAGCCATCCCCTTGTGGCTTTAGAAATGGAGGCTTGGAATAGACTTAACTTGGGGGCTAAGATATCCTTAAAATTATATAAAAGTTTTTAGAAAATATGTTTATGTTCATTTTTCTAGGAGATAATCTTTAGTTTTCATCAGATTTTCAAAGGGATCTGTGTCCTCCCCTACCAAGTATACAAAGGTTAAGATCAAATATTCTGGAACTGTGGTTTCCAAGGTTTTTTTGAGACAGAGTCTCACTGTGTCTCCCTGGGTAGAGTACGGTGGCATCACAGCTCACAGCAACCTCCAACTCTTGGCCTTAAGTGGTTCTCTTGCCTCAGCCTCCCAAGTGGCTGGCACTACAGGTGCCTGCCACAATGCCTGGCTATTTTTGGTGGCAGTTGTCATTGTTGTTTAGGTTGTCCAGACTGGGTTCGAACTGGCCACCCTCGGTATGTGGCTGGCTCCATAACCACTGTGTTATGGGCGCTGAGCCTCCAAGCTTTTTTGATTGCCTCTCTACTAAGTAAAAAAATTGAGCACAGCCTAGATATGGACGCTTGTGCTACCTACTGTGTTACTATATTAAGCATATTTGAAAACATCAAAATAGAAATTAAAAATATGTCAAACATATTTTAAATAGGACTTCTAATATTTTCTTTGCATATTGTAGAGAATTGTCTTTGGCATTTTGCTTGATATAACACTCCAAAAGATTGAATTGGTATTTTTCTTTGTTTATAACTTCACTATTATTGTTTTAAAATCCTCGTGTGGCTGTTTATCATCGTAGCTTTAGGAAAGATATGATTTTGTTATTTTTTCTTCCTCTCTGTGCCTAGTAGTCTTATCAATAAAACACTGTGCTCTAGGAAAAGCCATAATAAATAAGAAAGACACAGTTGCCACATTTACACACTAGTTTCCATACTAGTGGGGAAAATGGACAAATATACAATCAGTTAACCTTTTAAGGGTGGCAGAATCTGTGGGGGGTGTATTGGAGTCACAGAGAGACCTCACTCTGACTTGCAATTTAGAGAATGATTTGAAACAGAAGGGTCTCTTCTGTTGTATTCAGAGGAATGGGTTGGAGTTAGCCAGGTAGAAAGAAGAGTTTTCTAGGCAGAGGGAGCAGCACATGCAAAGAGCACTGAGCTGGAGGAGAACTGAAAAAATTGAGTATGCCTGGGGTGTAGTGGACCAAGAGATAGGAGATGAGGCTGGGAGTGTTACATTTGTGGTACTTTCCTCTCACCGAGGAGTTTGAAATTGATCTTAAGGACATGGTATGGTAGGTTCTTATATCTTCAGGCTCACCCATTAACTTTCCTTACCCACTAAAGTTTTAAAGCAGGAGATAACTTGTTCAGAGTTGCATTTAAACAGATAAATTAGGAGCATGGGGGAGGGCGGATTGTAGAAGGAATTAAGACTGGAGGTCTACAAAGATAGGTTGTAAATAGTTTTAGTAATCCAGATTAGCTGTATTGATATTCAGATGGGCGGAGGCAATAGGAATAGAGATCACTGGATGAATTTGAGGAAAATTTACAAGTAGAATTAAGGGGATATGGTAGGAATGAAGAACTGAAAGCCAAGTATGGTGCTTGGAATTTTATCTTAGTAAGAGGAGACATGGTAGTGCCATTTACTGAAGTAGGGATAAATAGGGAACAAGGGGAATTGAACTAGTTTGGGGATGATATTTTCAATTTTGAGCATATCGGCTCTAAGATGTTTATTTTTATGTATTTATTTTTGAGACAGAGTCTTACTTTGTTGGCCTTGGTAGAGTGCTATGGCATCATAGCTCACAGCAACTTCAAACTCTTGGGTTTGAGCAATCCTCTTGCCTCAGCCTCGTGTGTAGCTGGGACTATAGGCACCCCCCATAACATCTGGCTATTTTTTGGAGACAGGGTCTTGCTCTTGCCTGGGCTATTCTTGAACTCCTGAGCTCAAGCAATCCACCCGCCTGGGCCTTCCAGAGTGTTAGGATTACAGGCATGAGCCGCCTCACCTGGCCCTGAGAAGTTTATTCTTTAGAGAGAACAGAGTTCTGTGAAAAGTGAGGGAAGTTTGGAGAACTGCATGTCATTGGGGCTGGAGGATACAGGATAGCAGGGTAGGGAATAACAAGATGAGACTAAAAGGAAAAGAACAAGTCACCCTGAAGCAGATCAGACAGATCTGCTATAACAATGTAGATTAAAGTGGGAGGCTGAGGCAGGTAGATTGCCTGAGCTCCTCCAGTTCTAGATCAGCTTGAGCCAGAGCAAGACCCCATCTCTAAAAATAGCGAGATGTTGTGCCAGGCACCTGTAGTCCCAGCTACCAGGGAGGCTGCAAAAGACAATTGCTTGAGCCCAAGAGTTTGAGGTTGCTATGAGCTGTGAGCTCACTCTACCAGGGACAACCGAGTGGGACTGTGTCTCAAAAAAAATAAATAAATAAAATTAAATTAAAGGTGGCTTGGCACCCGTAACACAGTGGTTACAGTGCTGGCCACATGCACCCAGGCTGGTGGGTTTGAACCTGGCCCAGGCCAGCTAAACAACAATAACAACTGCAACAAAAAAATAGTCGGGCGTTGTGGCGGACGCCTGTAGTCCCAGCTACTTGGGAGGCTGCAGCAAGAGAATCACTTAAGCCCAAGAAGTTGAGGTTGCTGTGAGCTATGACATCACAGCGCTCTACTGAGGGCAACATAGTGACACTCTGTCCCCCCAAAAATAAACAATTAATTAATTAAAAGTGTGCCTGATAACTAACAGATAATAGACAATAAATATTTGTTGAATACTTGAGAATAATTCTTGTATTAAGTTAAATACAGAATAATTCCTCTGTTGAACAGTATCCTGTATAAAAATAGTGTACTATTTTAGCCCATTTTGTGCTGCTATAGCATAATACCTGAAACTAAGTATTTTATAAAGGACAGAAATTTATTTCCTACATTTCTTTTTTTTTTAATTGAAGAGTTTATTTATTTATTTATTTACTAGCACTACTTAATCTTTGGGGTGGGAGGGTCAATGACTTTTAAGAAGGAAGTCCTGGCTGGTGCCTGTGGCTCAGTGGGTAGAG